TGTATCCCTCGGCCAAGGACCAGAAACCAAGACAACAACAACAGCCAAGGGGACGACAATAACGCACCGTCCACTAAGTCATCGGATCAGACAGAGGATGGCGGTGCCCTCGTCCAATGAAAGCTAGTGGGCACCCCTCGTCTACGATGGTTCCCTCTTCGACCAAACACGAAAGAAGGAGGACAAATCTCTCCCCCTTCATTCTGGGAACAGGAGTAGCTCCACCCTCGGCCAAAGGACCCTCATCATCGGCCAAGGCTGATGGAAAACAAAACAGATCCCTTCGTCCAACTGGAAAGTCGGCGCCCCTATGTCAAAAATGAACAGATGGTAGGTAAGATGTTGCACCCTTCATCTTGGGAGCAACACCGCACCCTCGCGCAGGAAAGGACCACCCTCGTCTCTGGACCTCTTTGGTAGAAGGCTAGTTCATGGGGACGAACGACCCCACCCTTAGGAAAAGAACCAGGATCGAGGGAGCCTGTCATCCAACTCCGCACGAGGACCCTCTTACCCCAAGGGTATAGGCATATCAAGTCCGGTATGATTATTATTATTATTATTATTATTATTTAATGTTATTATTTAATGTTATTATTTAATGTTATTAATGTAACTATTATTATTATATTATATTATCACCACCGTCACTGGCGGGTTAAAGTCCCCCTGCGTGGTGCGAGCCAAGCTCTTGGCCTTATAGGCGCAATTTACCGGCTAAGGTTTGCCCCCGGAAAACTCTAGGCACCAAGTGCTAGGCCAACGGTCAAGCACACCAACCGAGGGGTACCAAGTACCCCCATCTTTCTTCCTTTAGAGCGCTCTAAATTCAAGGCAATACCAAGTATCATAACCTAGGGGTGACAAGTACCCCCGTCCTTCCTCCTTGAGAGCGCTCTAAATTCAAGGCGATACCAAGTATCACAACCGAGGGGTACCAAGTACCCCCGACCTTCTTCCTTGAGAGCGCTCTAAATTCAAGGCGATACAGAGTATCACAACCGAGCGGTACCAAGTACCCCCCATCCTTCTTCCTTGAGAGCACTCTAAATTCAAGGCAATACCAAGTATCACAACTGAGGGATACCAAGTACCCCCCGGCCTCCTTCCTTGAGAGCGCTCTAATTCATGGGGATACCAAGTGTCACACCGAGGGGTACCAAGTACCCCCAGCCATTTTGTTCCCAGGCCGAGGTAATAAATCTCAAACCCCTTGGAATGCGGATGGCTAATCCCGAGGGTGGAACCAACGGATTGCGCTGTCGCATTAAAAGGGACCAAGTCCCTCAAGGAACCAAGTTCCAACCCCCAGCTTATCATATATCTCAAGACCGGTCTTAGCCATTCCTTTACCGGATGGTGACCGTTGCATGGATTTCCGGACCGGCCCCTCATTGACTTCATCCTCATATCAGAGCCGGCCCTCAGCCTCGGTGTGATTATTTATCTCCAGACCGGCTCCTCAATGCCGAAGTGTTGTTATAGCGATAGGGCTCTCCATCCCTTCCAGGATGGGGACCGTCGGCTTCACGATGAATGGCCTCTCATTGCCGTCGTCCTCATATCACAACCGACCTCCGGCCTTGGTGTGATTATTTATCTCCAGATTGGCTCCTCAACGCCGAAGTGTTGTTATAACGATATGGCTCTTCATCCCTTCCAGGATGGGGACCGTCACCTTCACGACGAACGGTCTCTCATTGTCGTCGTCCTCATATCAGAGCCGGCCCCTCATCCTCGGTGTGATTATTTATCTCAAGACCGAGTCCTCAACGTTGAAGTGTTGTTATAACGATAAGGCTCTCCATCCCTTCCAGGATGGGGATTGTCGCCTTCACGACGAACGACCTCTCATTGTCTTCGTCCTCATATCACAACCGGGCCTCAACCTCGGTGATGCATAGGTGTACCCGGGGGGTATCTATCCAAGGGGTTACTGCGGGGAGTATCTAGAGAGAAGTCAAAGCAAAAGTAAGAGAGAGAGAATATATATTGCTGAGAATGTGGAGCGTATTGAACCTGGATTACAAATGGGGAAAGGGGTGCTATTTATAGTAGTAATAAATGCCAGATAGGGACACGTGTCATCATTCTGGTGGTCGAGGGGTCACCTCAACGGGGTGGCACTGGCACTCGCATGTGGCCGCATTAAATGCGGTGGTTGGATGTGACGTTTGTACTCGGTACGTTGATCCAGCGCATGTGGGTGGGAGATTCTGTCGAGGAGATGCCTTCGGTCGTAGATGATTGGCCGAAGGCTCTTCATACTGGGGGCCTCTAGGTGCCGAGGGCTCTAGGTGCCGAGGGCTACTGTTTTTGCTGCTTTCTCCCAGACACTTTGAGTGCTTAAAAGAAGCCGTATTGTGAGTTTATTAGCCTTCGGCCAGGGGGCCAAAGGCACATCAGTGTTCGCCGTGGGCTGTTTGGCACTTGGGGCGCTGTGTTTTGGGCCTGCTGTGCTTTCTGGGCCTATTGGGCCTTTGCTACAGTAGTGGGAGTCTATGGATTGGGGGTTCCTGGGCCATATACTCCATCAGGAGTCCCTCACTCCTTTTTTCGAAAGGTACTTGAGGGAAAAGGAGTAATTGCGGTTGTCCTTTGATGCTGCCTTGCTTGTAGCTTGTAAACCAGTGAGAGATCTGCGTTTGCACATGATTCTGCCAGGAGCGGCCCCTCAATCCCCCATACTTTGGGACAGAAGGGTCATGTTGCTGCTTTGGGGAGATTTTTGACATTTTTCATTATTGTGATTTTTCCCGAAGGGGTCTTCCAGTCCCCCACTCCTTGAAGCACTTGTAAAGTGGTGAAAAGGAGTAGAGTGGTGCCTGTTGTTTGTACGGGGCCGAAGGTTAATGCTTTTTGTTTCATTTTGGGGGGATGCCTCGTTAAAAACCTCATTAGGAAAAACCATGTGGGAAAAAATCCTAATGAGGGAAAAAGAGTGCACCGAATTCCCCCAATGATGAATTGAAAAGGTGGGACCTTGGTCTGAGATGAAGGACAAAGTTGATGCCGAAGGCTACCCTTGATCTGAGGGCGTGTCTGTGGAGTTTCCGAAAGGGTTTTGATGATATCCCGGGGGATGTCGAGGGGGAGTCCTTCAATCCATGTTGATAGGATTGCGGGCGTGATGAATGTAAGTGGTAGTTGCTGTGTTGCCGGGGGATTTTCTAGCTGTTGACTAGCTGGGGGTGAGGGCTCCCGAGGGGTCCGTTGTTGTATGTCGAAGGCCGTTCACCTAAAAAGGGGTTTTAAGTTTGATGTTTCCGAGGGGTCTCTGTATTGCGTGGCCGGGGGCCGACTGTTGATGAAGGTGTGCTCCCCCTCGGGGTTTCCTGGCCTTCAATACGTTGAGGGCTGAGGGTTCCCGAGGGGTAAGCTCGTTGTTAAGCTGTGGGCTTCTGAAGGAGAAAGCCCGAAGGCACTTGTGATGTAGTATGAGGGGTACAGGCCGGGAGCACATCTGTGATCTCAAAATATAGTCGTTGCAATCAGACCGTTGGCACATGGAACGTTTAAAAAGTGGCCGTTGGAGAGGACTTCCACGTGGTGCATGGCCGTTGGCTAGGTTTGGGCGGGCATCACTGGTTGGCGGAAGGGGCGGTATGTAATGATGGCTTTCGTAACCGGAGGCCCGGTTTTGGGCCCAAGCCCGGATAAGGGTGCCTATAAATACCCCAAGGCCTGATCTTGTTCCCTCTACGCATCCTGGTCGTGTAGCGAAGCTCTGGCAAAATTTCTAGAGAGATAAAGTTCTTAGTTCGATCAAACCCTTACTCCCAAGGTCAGTTCATCTTTCATTTTGCCATCGTTCTCATATTTTGCTTCAGTCTCCTTAGATCTAGTGTTAGCGACCTTAGGAACTTCTTTCCCTCTATTCCTTCCTTCATGCGAAGACGTCGTTTGCGAGCGATTCCCAAGATATATCGAGGGAGCCTTCGGTTGAGGCGGAAACTTACTCTGATGTTGAGCCTTCGAGCGAGGAGCCTTCGGCGGGTGATGCTGCTGCTGTGGCCATGGAGGTGGAGAAGGATCTCAGGGCCGTGGTCGAGGCTGAGGACTTTGAACAAGTAAATGAAGACGAGGAGATGGCCCTCGCCGTTCATGTTGCTGAGCAGGAGGAGCAAAAAGAGAGGATGAAGTTCACTATTGCCGTCCTTCCCCCCCCCCCACCAATGTGGGTGAGGCCAGCACCTCCCGGCCCTTGAACCCAACGCCCCTCAGGGTTGCCCCGGGAAAGAAGAAGAAAACAAAGACTGTCGTTCCCAAGAAGAAGGGTAGCGTTGCTGATCAGGGAAGGCCCATCGATCTGCTCGAGGGCTATTCCTTCTTAAACACCGCTGCCCTCGAGATCAAGTCGAAGGCTGATATGGCGGAATGTTATGTCACACAATTGAATGTGGGGCCCTCGGGCACAGTATTACTGCCGGGACCAGAAGACCTTCTCTCCCGAGCTCCCGAGGGGTGTATAGCGGTGCATATCCCCTTGGATTCCATGGGCCTCCGGTTCCCCTTGCACCCATTTCTTCGTGAGTACCTCCGGTTCGTGGGTCTGCTTCCTTGCCAACTCATGCCCAACAGTCATTCTTACATCACCGGTTTCCTTCACCTCTGCCAAACCCGGGGAGTGGCCCCCAGCTTGGACCAATTCTTCCAAAGCTTCAATCTCTGCCGAGGGGGCCATGCAAACACCGAGGGGTTTACGAATCTGCAGCAGATAGCCCAGTGGAAGCTGTTCACCGAGGTGCCCTCCTCAAATAAAGGCTGGAAGGAGCGATGGTGCTATGTCAGGCTAGCTGAGAGCCCCTTCCCGAGGGAGTTGCGGGACTGTTTTAGGCGGCATGAGAAGATTAGAAGTCCCGCCCTCGAGAAAGATGGCCTTAAGCTTGCCAAGATCCCGGAGGGGCGCAACAAGAATGTGACGATCAAGGAGTGCACCCTCGAGGAGGATATGTATGCCCTCGGCTTCCGGCGGTATCGCTACTTGGGGGAGATAGATGAAAAGTTCCCCCTCCTTGATCGAGCCTTCGAGAGAGCCGGAGGTGATTACCGAGGGCCTTGAGTTTCGTACTTAGGAAATTTTTAGTACTTTTGATATTTTCCCATGCTTTCTACCCTCCGGGCTAATTCTTTATTGTTGCTTTGCAGGTGTTGGTATGGATGCAAACGCCCTCTTCGCTCTGAACAAGAAGAAGGGCAAGGCCCAAGCTAAGAAGAAGGACCCTTCGGGCCAGCAGCCCGTTGAGGCCTTCTTCCAGAAGGAGATGCTGGAGCCCTCTGCTGTGGCTGCCGCCGCTGATGTGGCCGGGGGGGCACGAAGAAGAAGAAGGGTAGCAAGGGGGTTGAGCCCCCTGCCAAGAAGCAGAAAGTTGCCGGGGATGTTGCTGAGAAAGCGGCCCCCATGGTGATTATAGAGGATCGGTCCTCTGCTGAGCCCTCGGCTGCGACCGCACTGACGGCCCCTTCCAGCGACCCTTCGGGAGAATTCCCTCGGGAGACCTTGCACGTTCCCCTCGTCAAGGGGACTGCAGTGATGCATGGCACAATAGATCCGAAGGATTTCCTGGGGAGCATCACCTCGGACCTGGATAGGAAGGCCCTCGGGACCTACGATGACAAGGCCCTCGAGAACAAGATCCTCCGGTCTTCCCTCACCGTAAGTCTCTGTTCCTCATTTTTATTTTTCATTCACTTAGTACATCTCAGATGATAGCTTGACTTCTTTGTTCATTGCTTACAGGCCTGCATAGCTCTCGGCGAGCAAGTCCGTGGCTGGAAGAATGGCGCCTCCAGAAAGCCCAGCAGGAGGAGTCCCTGAAGAAGCTTATCCTTGAAAAAGATGCTTCCCTTAGGGAAATGTGCAAGCTGGAGGTGACCCTTCAAGAGATGGAGCTGAAGATGGAGGCCGCCATGGTAGAGGTCAGGGCCGAGGGGAAGGCTGAGGCCGAGAGTGCTGCTGCCGAGGCCACCAAGAGAGCCACCGATGAGGCCGAGAGGGCCAAGAACGGGGCGGTAGCGAAAGCTGGGAAAGCCGCGGTTGAAGCCTATACTGCCGAAGGCTTTTGTATATAATTTGCTTTCATCTTTGAATGTATGCTTTCGTCTTTTCTTTGTGAAATGAATGTCTTCGAATTTGCCTTGTGAATGAATGCCCTCATACTTCGATGTTTGGGTTGTCAGTCATTTTAAGACTTAGGAAAAATTTCTAAGTGTTGTTTTTTCCATCAAGCCTTCGATTGTATGGCCCCTCTGGCTGCATGGATATTTGACCGAGGGCCAAATATTTAGGACTTAGAAAAATTTTCTAAGTGTAGTTCTTCCCCCAAGCCTTCGGTTGTGTGGCCCCTCTGGTTGCATGGAGATTTGGCCGAGGGCAAAATATTTAGGATTTAGAAAATTTTTCTAAGTGTAGTTCTTTCACCAAGCCTTTGGTTGTGTGGCCCCTATGGCTGCATGGAGATTTGACCGAGGGCAAAATATTTAGGACTTAGAAATTTTTTCTAAGTGTTGCTTGTCACTTGGCCTTCGGTCCACGCCTTCCCTTAGTTGCATTGAATGGCTTGGCCTTCGTTGCATGATGGGTTGGCTGAGGGCCAACCATTTAGGACTTAGAATATTTTCCATAACTCATGATTTGCCCCTCGGTGAATAGACCCTTCGATTTGTAGTATCTTGAGTAAGAGATCCATTGGTGAAGGGTGGTGGTCCCGGAGGCACCCAATTTTGTAGACTTAGAACAATTTCCTTTGGCTTGTAAGACTGGCCTCTGGTAATGTGTGAGGAGCCTTCGGCTTTTGGTAGATCCCAAAGTGTGGACTTTAGGACTTTTGCAATCCAACCCCGGCATGAGACGCCTTCGGGAAATGCTTAGGAGCATTCCCTTCGGTGCTTAATGAGATGCCGGGGGTAATTGCAGCTTGGATTTAGAAAATTCTGCAGAACATTTACATCGTAGTAGATGCCTTCGGTATTCATTGAAATGTTGTTGCCTGGAGTTAGCAAATTTTCACCTATCCATAGGATCAAGCCTTCGGTATTGGATGATGTCGGAGGCAGCCGACTGTGGACTTGGCCTGATTTTGATAACTTTGGCCTTCTGGAATTAGTAACTTCTTGGTACCGGAGGTGTTCCCGTGGGGAGCCCTCAGTATGATCTGTATTGTCTTGTGATGCCGAAGGGCTTCATGTTGTGATTTGTTGAAGTTGGGTACTCATTGATTCCTCGCTGAGTCTACTCCCCTTCACCCCATTTTTTGGTGTAAGGAATAATTGTATTTAGATTTTGATGATGCTATATTAATTAGGACTTTAGAAGTACCCCTTTTAGAAATTATGTATTAGAATTTTCCTTTGTAAAATTCTTAGATATATTCGACTTGACAGAAGTGCTTCGAGAACAGAAGGGCTCCCAGAGCAGAAGTGCCTCTTAAGGCTTTATTGAAACAGAGGACCTTTGGTTCTCTGCTCCAGAACAGAAGTCCTCAGGACCTCTGTTAGTATTGACTCTGACAGAAACCCTTCTGGGTCTCTGTTGGATACTCCCAACAGAAGTGCTCCAGACCTCCTCTGTTCTACTCTCAGTCAAAGACACCAGAAGGTCTGACACTTAGAAGATTTTCAAAGAACCGGGAAGTCAACTTAAAGATTCCTTCAACGGCTAGGAGTATAAAACGGAAAAGCTACAGTGCATGCATTAAATGCTCATTTAATGCACCCCATGCTACGTAGAGTAATTGCAGATGATTGGCCGGAATGTCAGGAATACTTTATCCCAAAATAGTAACCCGCCAACCTTACCGGGCTCTACTAGTCAAGTCAACTGATCGCTCATTTAATGCAGTTGTCCTCCTACTCCTCCAACGGGAAGACAACCTCAGTATAAAAGATACACTACGAAGAACAACCGGACAACTTTGCCATAACCTTGCTATCACATTGCTAACCAAGCAAGATATTCAAACTCTGAAAAGCAAAAGCCTCCTTGAGATTCAAACTTAGTATCCTCTACAAGAGAAGGCAGAAGTTGGAAAAATACTCTTTCCAACTCAAGCAAAGTTCCAAGTGTTCTTCAACTCTTCAAGCTCTTCACATACACATATTTTGTAACGAAGCTAGTTGGAGGAACCTCAGTTTCAACAGAAACTCTTCTTGCTACAAGAAGGACGTCCTAATAACTGGAGTAGTGAAGTGGTGATACTTCAAGGAGACTCAGTGTAAGGACCAGTGTTAAAGGAAGCCAGGCAGTGCATCCCAGGACACATCTAGACTTGAAGAAGACATGGAGTGCTTCTTAAGTGCTAGGACTAAGGCTTTGTAAATGGCAGTTTTTACAGCTTAGTGGAACAGTGGATTAGAGGAACGAGTTGTTCCTTGAACCACTATAAAAATCCCTGGTGTCGTTTACTTACTGCTTTTAATACTTGCACTTAGATAGAACTGTATAACTCCTTGGACTTGGTATCTGTGTTCAACAGAACTGGTTCTACGAGTTAACAGAAGGCCTTCTGCCTTTGCTTCTCTGAGGCTAACAGAACTCCCTGCCAGAACCCCATCCGCTGCCAGTCTGTTCTTTCAACAGAACAGGCTATTCTGAAAATCTGGTACTTAGTTTAAAAAGCTAAAAACCAATACAGTCTATTCACCCCCCCTCTAGACTGTATCCAGTATAACCGGGACCAACAAGTGGTATCAGAGCCTCCTTGTTCTAATAATCTTTTAGGTTATTTATTGAACAAAGATCCACTTGTTTTTCTGTTTTACCTCATTTCTATCTGATATAATGGATCACTCCTTGTCCAAGAATCTTATGTTTTCAGATCTTAAGTTTGATGACTGGAGGATCCGGATGAAAGCACATCTCTGTGCCCTGCATGATGAGATGTGGGAAGTTCTTGATATTGGCCCCTTCACTAGCTTCCAGAAGGTCAACCCTGAACATGCCATAGATAATACCAGACCCCAGATGATTAGCAAAGCCAAGTCAGAATGGACCACTGAAGAGAGGAGAAAGTACAACTTAGACAATATTGCTAAGGACATCCTCTACAAGTCCATTGATGATAGATACTTCAACAGAATCAAGAAATGCAAGACTGCTAAGGAGATCTGGGATACTCTTGAGCTCATTGGAGCTGGTGATGAGCAGGAGAAGGACAACAAACTAACCATAGCCAACAAGAAGTTTGATGACTTCAAACTTCTCCCTGGTGAAAGCATCTCCAAGATGTATGACAGGCTCCTCACTCTCACTGGAGAGATTTCTGAGCTTGGCAAGGATCTCACAACCAAGGAGATCAACCTGAAGGTGTTGAGGGGACTGCCCTCAGCATGGAAGATGAAAGTAGTTGGTGTCCAAGCCAGCAAGGATGTAAAGACTTATCCCACTGATAAGCTCATTTCAGATCTCAAAGCTCATGAGTTTGAAATGATTGAAGAAAAGGAAGATGTACCAGAAGAGAGGACCACTACAGCCCTCACTGCCAGCACATCTAAGGTAAATGATTTTGACCCTTCAGTACTTTTATCTGATGAATATATGGCTGCCTTTGCCAGGAGATTCAAAAAGTTTATGAAGAATCCCAAAGATGGAAGGAGTCCATCTTTCAACAGAAAGCCATACCAGAAGGTCAAATCAACAGAAAGCAGTGGAGAGCTTCTCTGTTACAACTGCAGACAACCTGGTCACTTCAAGGCTGATTGTCCCCATCCTAGAGTGTCCAAGAAGCAAGGACAGGATGGAGAAAAGAAGAAGTACGAGGACAACTCCAGAAGGAGAAAGGCACTTGTGACAGAACAGGTGGAGAAAGACCCTCTGTCAGAAACAGAATCCAGTTCTGACTCAGATTCTGATGAGGCCTTCTGTTGCCTGGATGCTGAGACAGAAGACCTTTGCCTGATGGCTCATTCTGATGATGAGGTAACCTCTACTTCTGAATCTAGTTTTTCTTCGGTAGGCTTAGCTTTTGATTCTGATTCAATGTCAGAATTTTGGGAAGAGTTTAAGGCCATACAAGCCATTTATTCTTCTGTAACAGAAGAAAACAGTAAGTTAAAAGCTGAAATTCTTGACTTAAAGAAGGAGGTTGAGATCAAAATCAATCTTCTAATTGAGGAAAGAGATCAACTGGAGACTGAAAATGTTTCTCTTCTTAAGAGAATAAGAGAAATAGAGCCTCTCGAGATTAAGTACAAAGCTTACCAGAAGGCCCAGTCTTCCATGGAAAAGATTGTGCTTGATCAACAGATTGGCACTGGTTTTGGTCTTGGTTATGGCTCAACAGAATCAGGTGAGCCTTCTGTAATGCCTAGCACCAGAGTTGCTAAGGCAGATAAGGTCATAGAGCCACTGATTTCTAGCCCCATCTGTCAAGCTGGTGTATCTGGCACCAAGGTTGTTCATGAGGAAGTCAGACCAGAAAAGGGTAAGATAAAGGTTCAACAGAAACCCTTTTTGAAAAATAATGAACCTGGCAGAAAACCTAACAACAGAAAAGGTTTTCAAAATAACAAAAATAAAAGACCATTCATTGACAGACAACCTCATGTCAATCGTGCCAGAAATGATCACCAGAAGGGCAAATATCAAGAGAGAGTTAACTTCAGGCAGAAGAGGTTGGCTGGTCAACTTCAGAAGCCCAAAGTTAACCGTCCCTCTGCTCTTGATAGTATATGGGACTTCTTTCCAACAAAGAAAGCTATGCAAAAGTATGTAAACAGGAAGCATGACCCTCACAAGCATCTGCCTTAAGTGAATCACACTTCTGTCTACTACAACTACCAGGTGGACAATGGGTACCACCCACCAAGGTTTCACTTGATGAGACCAAAATGGTACCAACTACCCAGACTCCATGACCCCCCAGGACCCAGC